ACACCCACACCCAACGAGATAAGCTTCTTCATTCTATAGTTGTTGTAGTTAAGTTCAGAATCTAGTTGAGATTGGAATGACGTAGTTCACTTTGTTTATTTAACGCTTTTGCTAGCATGCATTCAGAAAAACTTGTTTATTTCTTATAATATTTATATTCACAATTACTTCTCTGATGATGAAAAATATCTTCGTACTGTTATATGCTTATTAAACAGTTATGACTCATTCGAATGATTGTTTTCTTGTATAAGTGAATATTACTCATCAATTTCCTATAGTAAAGTTTTCAGATGTAACGATGGTAAATGATACATTGAAATAAGAGTTTCTGCTTCGATTTTTATGCATAATAATTCCATTTTATTTCGATGCACGGGATATGGGGATATTGAATGATTGGTTAGAACGAAATCTAGAGTTATTTAGCTATTTGTTCTTATATAATAGATGTTATTTTCGAGGAACCGGAAAGTTGAGTACGAAGAAAGATGAGCACGGAAAGATAAGCACAGCAAGTTAAGCACTGGAATAATGAGCACCGATATAATGAGCACAGGAAAGTTAAGCACGAAAAAAAACTTGAGAAAATAATGAATAGACATAAACCAATTTATGCTAATTAGATCACAGATAACATGAAAACATAAACATAAGAAATACAAATTATGTAAAATAATCTAATTATTCACACTAAATGAATAGAAAAGGTAATTAACTGTTCCTATAAAAAAGATCAGAACAATTGTTCTTTAACATTGACAATTTCTCAACATGCCCACTATTTCTATGAATGGTACGACAAAACAAAAACCATGTCTAAATTTCAATGGGTACTCTTATATAAAAGATCGATCTACCAATAAAAAAACATATTGGCGTTGTGTAAATTATTTAAGAGACCGTTGTCATTCTCGTCTTCACACATGTATTATCACAAATGATGTTATCAAACCACCAACAAAACATACTTGTACAACTGATGGTTCATCACTGGAAGTACGAAAGTTTAACGAAGAAATTGCTCATCGGGCTCGAAACACTCAAGAAATACCAGGTGTGATTGTTACTAATTGTTACAAAGGTAAAAATGTTCAAGTGATAGAAATTCATTTTCTATATAAATATTGATTTGATATATTTAGCTCTATCTGATCAAAGAATTGCTCGATTACCAATACGTGACAACATAAAACGTCGAATTCGAATGGTGCGTCAGAATAAAAATATTGTAAACGCACCAAATGACCCGAATTTTACATCGATTCCAACATCTTTGACTAAAACTGTTCGTGACGATATGTTCTTGCGTTGTGATACTGGACCAGGTATGTCTTCCAAAGTAAGAGATATTCTATTTAATACTACTTTTCGTTTTTGGTTGTAAAGGTGATGCCAGAATACTGATATTTGCCAGCACTGAACAACTTGATATTTTACAATCTACTGATGATTTTCTAGTAGATGGTACATTCAAGGTGGCTCCAGAAATCTTTTATTAAGTTTATATAGTTCATGCTGTATATCGAGGCCATGTAGTGCCAGTATTATATGCGTTACTTCGAAGAAAAAATGCTGCCACTTACCAAAACTTAGTTCATCAAATACTTCGGTTTGCTCCAAATTGGAATCCTGTTTCGATTATGCTTGACTTTGAACAAGCGTGTTTAGGTGTTTTTGATGCAAGTTTTCCAAATGTGTTATTGTCGGGGTGTTATTTTCATTTGCGACAAAGTATTCATCGTAAGTTATAGGTAATAAAATGATAAATTCAGAACTCAACTGAAATATAATTGACATATAATTTTTGTATTTAGGCATTAGGTTATCAAAATAAATATGAAAATGAACCAGAATTCTCGCATAATATACATAAAATAGCTGCTTTAGTTTTTCTAAAACCAGATGATGTGGTGAAGGGTTTTGAAGATTTATCGGTGGATCTTGGCGATGAATATCAAGCTGTTTTTGATTATATTGAAGAAACTTATATTGGTAAGTGATTGGATATTTCCTACAGAAATTCTATTATGTAACTTTTACAGGGCGATTACGTGCTAATCACACACGAAGAAAGCCATTATTTATCATTGACTTCTGCAAAATGTTTCACAGAACAACTGAATCATTAATGAGAACAAATAACTCAGCAGAGGCGTATCATCGTCGAATTAATTCAATATTTCAGTGCTCTCATCCAACACTGTGGGTTTTTCTTCAAAAGCTAATTGATGAACAAAATGCTACACATACTGATGTAGTTCATATAAAATCTGGACAAGCACCAAAAAGCAAGAAAAAGAATGAACGTTTTGAAAAATGACTATTACATCTAATTTCAAATCCTCATCAAGATATTCTAACTCAACTCGACCCAATTGCTAATAATATTACATTACAACTATTTGTTTATTATTTCTTGTCATAGAATGTAAATAAATTTATTAATCAGTCAATATACTGTATCTATATATTTTCTTTTTCGTTCTTAACTTTCCGTGCTCATCTTTCCTCGTGCTCAACTTTCATCAATCCTTTTTTTCGAGCATGGGGACATGGGGACATTGAATGATTCGTTGACTCGAAACTCATAGTAAATTAGTCATCTCTGTTACTCAATATTTGGCTTTCTTTTTTTCGAGCATCGAGACATAGCGACATACACCGATTGGTTGAAATGAAATCGATAGTTTTTGAGTTATCTGTTATTATAGAATAGTTTCTTTTTCGAGCATGGAGACATGGGGATATTGAATGATTGATTGAAACGAAATCGATAGTTTTTGAGCTATATGTTATTGTAGAATAGTTTTTTTTCGAGTACATGGGGACATGGGGATATTGAATGATTAGTTGACTCGAATTTGATAGTAAATTAGTGGTGTGTATTATTGAGCATTTTTTTCCATCATGGATTGAAAAATGAAAATTTACTGGATGTAAATATTTTAAGATAATTCAAAATAAATCATAAAAGCTCGACCAATGACTTAGAAGCGCTAAAGTCACAAAAGTTAAACACAATAGCGAAGAAACAAGCATTAATTATCGCATGACTCATACTATTAACATGCATTCCAAACTCAACTGAATTCCCATGTCAACTGTGACATGTGTCTGTCTATTAGGTAATTGATCAATCAGTTGACTTAGCAATTACTTTACTCAGCTTTTTAGATTATGCAAATTTCAAATATCAGTAAATGATTAATGATGCGCTTCCCGAGTCATATGGCGCTGTTTCACTCAAGAACAACGTTGTTTCTGCTGTCTAATAGCCAAAGGTGAATATGGGGTGATGCACACACTCTTAGACCATTTATTGCAAAAAAACAGGAACTATGTATAAGTTTAAGATCAATATTTAGGATTGGATAATATCCAGAAGATCTAAGGGAAAACGCCTAAAAGAGATTATAAACTGAGAAATTCTACCATTGAACTGTAGGGAAAGTAGGCTCGTAGAAAAATATATATGACTTAATAACCAAAGAAAAATCACAAAATAAAGAACCCGGAAAATTGATAGAAAGCATCAGCAAATTCTACTGTTTAGCACTGATCAGCTGCTATAGAATTGTTGTATTAAATTGACAAAATAGAATTAACCAAACATTTTCAATCAAAATCATCCTTTCCCAGTTCTCTTCAATAACAATCTAAAAACAATGCATTCTTTAGAATATAGTGATGAAAGTTAGAAATTTGTCAGAAGATAAAAAAAGCTTTTTATGACATCCAGACAAGACTTGACTTGAGTTGGGAAAGATTTTTATGATTGCTGACTGGACTTGACTTGACTTGTGACTTGAAAAACACCTGACTTGCCCAGTCGTGCAATAGTTTAATTATAAAAATAATTGTTGTATTCAATAATCTTATTATTCTCTAGGCTTTTGAGAAAAATAAAATTGTTCTATTCTGAATAAAAAAAGAGGATAGACACTATACTATTTCTGTTCTTTATGACTTTATAATTTTACTGGCTTATTCTCTTAGTTGTTTTTTCTCTATCTGAATTCTTCTTTTACATTAGTCAATGAATCAATTTACATAATGATTTAAAACAAGAGTATTTTATTTTGTTTCAGATTGTGATCAATATAGAAGTATATTCATAATAAATCTTTAATTAAACAATGGGCAATACACTAGCAGGTTTGGTTTTAAATTTTCTGACACTAATAGTTGATGGAGGTGTATGTTTAATTTCGATTGCTGTTTTTATTTACATTATAATTCATGTAATTGTCAATCGTACAAAGCCTGAAGACAAAGTAACATTAATTCTGTGTGCTAATATCTTAATGCTTATCTTTCTCTATGGAGCAATCATAGTTTCATTTTCTATTAATTCAATATTAAGTGAATTCTATGGATTACATTCTGACTCTTCATGGTGTACATTTAATGGATATCTTATTGCAGTTATTGTCGCTGCTATATACAATATTTTTGTTAGTCAGGCTATTATTAATTGTGTATTTTGTGAAACATGATCTACAACAAATATATGAACTGTAGAAGTCGAATTTTAGATTCTTCCACCCCACAAACATCGTAGCAATGCATTTTCCTTTCCAATTCTAATAGACATGATCAAGAGTGCTAGACATAGTCCTTTAAACAGAAGTCTGTCACAGAGTGAATGTGAAACACGTTTGAATTCATGATGCTGTATTTTTCATCCTCCTTTTACACTCATTGGTAATATAGTAAGATGAATATCTACTATTATGGATTCATACTAACAGCATATGCTAATGAACAAAACGGTGCATCTTTCACATATTCAGTTCACAGAGATTATGCTAATTAGAGGCTCAACCAGCCCGACTTCTTACAGACGTGACCTGCCTGCGACAGGCCTACAACCTTCTCAGCCTATCTGTGCCTGCCGTCTTATGTCTTCGGTCTGCCTGATCTGACCTGTGAAGGTTTTTATACTTTTTAAAGCTAACTTCATTATAATAATATGATTTAATTAAGTATTAGTCTTCATTCAAAATGTAACAGGTCAATTGAACTAATTAAGGTAGCATCATTAAAAGTTCTCTCACGTAGATATTCAAGTAAATTTTTACAAGTCTGCATGACACGGTGGCTTTCATTTCCTTTCTGTGTATCGCAGCTAGGGATATATATTTCTTTTACTTTAAAATAAATGTACATTATTGGTAATTCATATACAAAATACATAGAAATAGTTTTTTTTTCATAACTTATATCCATAGATAAATACAATTAAGCACAGTTCATATTTAAAATAAATTATAACAGATTTTATTTATTATAAATGTACATTATTTTAAAATAATTTAATATTCAATAAATGGTACACTCTATAATAAGCTAGGTGAAACTAATATGTCTTGCTGATATTGAATATCAACCATACAGAAAAGGGTTAAAACGCGTAAAAAGTGAAGGAAACTTCAACGAAAATAAACTTCTACACATGTGTACCAATGAATCTATTAAAAACGCATTGAAGTTTCCAATGGAACAGTCGTTCGTTCGAAAATCTAATTTCTAATGAATACGATTAGATGTGTATTTTTTTCTTGGCTTATTTTCGTTGAACTTAAATCCCCTTTTTACGCTTTTTGGGGCGTATTCGTATGACCGGTATTTATGATTAACAGAAATAGGATAATTCCATCTGATTTATTATTCAATTTACCATATATTAAATTATAAACTATTTGAAAACAATTAATATTTATAATAAATTATGAAAGAAAAAATTATTTTTAATATAAATTACTAATCATTTATTTCAATTCTAAATTAAATTAAAAATAAATAAAAATGGACAGCTCTAGTTTAGTTCATTCAAATTTTAGTTCTGATGTAAATCTTTGAAATATCAGATCGAACACTTGAATCCTGTTTGAGATAATATTTTCCTGGGTGTTTTTCACTGATGAGTATTTTTCCTTCAATTTTTCTTAACATTTTGGTTCGCTTAGAAATTCTATTCAAATTACATGAGAATTATGGTAAGTGGTTATAATATTTGTGGTAAAATAGAATAGATTTGATTATCCGAAACGGTTGGATATAATGGATTTAGCTGCTGTAATTTGAAATTACGTGAGAAAAACATGAACAGGTGTGATGGTGCCAATTCTACCAGTGATCATTTTTAAAGCCTTGTGTCATAGTTTGCGTAGAGAATATTCATTTTAGCGGCAAGATATTATTACCTATCCAATCTCTTTTTTTTGTTGAGAATCTCTTCAGGATGACAGTAGATTTGATTGTTTTCATCGATGTATAATATTTATTCGCAATGGTTAATCGAATTCATCATATTCAATAGTCATCTGTGAGAAATGCTAAGCTGAGTTTTTTTTCTTGAATAAAATTCAATTTAAAAAATAACTTTTATTTAAAAAAATATAGCCAAGTCAGGGGGCCAGCGTTTTTAAGAGGCCTACCTGGCCTGTTTAAAGCTCTGGTGCCAACTACTATTGATATAATATATGATAGATAATGTTCCTTTTTCCTAATATATATAGGCTACCTTTCGGCTATTTCGGATTGTCTATGCAACTTACAAATGGCTTCAACTTCACAGGATTTATATGATTATAGGCCCCATTCAATTGATTATAGGATTTGCTGTTCAAAGTCCTGTACTTATCTGGCAGGATGTCAAATATATATCTAGTGAGAATTATTGTTTTGTTCCATACTTACAGTCACATGGAACAATATGGACCATAAGTATTTCTTATGGATTTCCTCTTTTGGCTTTATTATTTATATATATTCGTATAACAATATTTCTTTATCGTCAATCAACTGTTCAAATACTTTTAGTACAACGTCGACAACAACGTGATTTACTTGTTATTAAACGAATTGGAATTACTGTTAGTATGTTGATTATTTTTGAATTGCCAGATTTGATATTTTTAATGCTAACATCGATGACAGGTGTTGAATATGCACTTACTTATCGCATTCAATGGTTTATTGATAGTTTATCCATGTTAGGATTAAGCATAACAAATGTGGTTTTGACACCTCAAGTAAAAAGTATTGTAATGAACAGATGGCGACGAAACCAAGTAGGAGTTCAAACTACAAATACAACTCCACAGAGAGCTGCTGGCACTGGTCAACAAACTACTCAACATTTGCAACCAAGATATTGAAACTTAAACATAAACTACAGACAATTTTCTTTTTTGTTGTTCGTATGATTAATGTTGTGAGAGATGCTTCAAGATTTTATTTCGAAGACTGAATTATTAATTATTATGGTGTGGATTTGGATTTGGGTTTATAGAAGTTTCACACCCACAACCGTTGATGGGAGCACTCTTTCAGGTGCACTTTGTATGAATCCTAAAAGTCGAAATATATTGTTGAGGATTCCTAGAAATTCTAGGCTTTGAAGTCAAAAATTCGCTAATAATATATCCATGATTTCTTGAAGATTACTTCAACGACGAGCATTGAACGTTTGATGATGAAATTCGTAGAACGAAGCAACCGCAACGTTACTTTTCCTCCTTAAAAATGGAAGGTGCATAAGATTTCAGCCTCTTTTGAGGTGGCTCAAATTTTTGAGAGGCTGCTTGTGAAATATCGATTCAAGGCAATACCTGAATTTCTCTCGATCAAAAGTGGGTAAAATCTAATAAATATACAATATGCCACAACGTGAATGGTGGAATGCTGACGAAGAAATAAATATTCAGCCTGAGACTCTTACAGATGACTTCTGCAGCAAATCGGTTCTTGAACAACAAGCCTGATATTACCATGAAGTTGTACAGTTTCAATGGTTCTCACAACTTTAATTAATCAATCCTCATTCTATTTCATATTTCGTGAGAAAGTCTCATCTGAGAACTATGGTTTTCATCGAAAAACAATATGTGACAACGCTTTTCTGTTCACAAAGATTGGTTTAAAGAGCTGAAACTGTTAGCAAAGATATTTCACTAGGAGATGCCTCACTAGCAAAAGTTTCACACCATCGTCTTACTGAAATAATCAGCTACAGAGTATTTCCATGGGGTTTCTGCCACATTTACATGAAGTATCCCCTATCAACGTGAAACTTTCAGGGTTTGTAGAGCTTGATTTGCTGATCATTTTGATCTAATTAGATTCCAAAAAATATTTTGTCATTCATGATTTCCAGCGGTCAACTTTTCACAATTTTTATGAAAAATAATTTTTTTTTGTTTCTTGCAGAATTTTGTCTAGGCGTTTTTTCTTCGATATTTTTTGATTGCTGGAATTTCTCAATAGGCTATGTTTGTTCAGTTTTTCGAGCTCTATCGATTGCACTGTTTCGGGAACTCGTTTGGAGTGAACAAGACGTAATTAGTATCGAATTTCAGAAATTCAGGGTGGTTTTTATTTTGACTAAAAAAGTTAAACTTTCCAAATTTCCCGAAGAATCGAAATAGTGGAAAAGACAGAG